TCGTGGGATACGCTCTTGGAGGAAGAGGCTACAGAATCCTAGACCTTAAAACTTGCACAGTTAAGGAATGCAATGTGGTACATGTTGATGAAAGCAACATCCTACAAACTTCTAAGCCAGCTGAGTCCACAGTGCAACTCAGGAATCTACAGAAGTCCCCTTCAACAACTTGTTCGCTTGGTAATCTGCAGAGACCACCTGTGAACAGGCAGGTCCATCTCCACAAGAGAGTTCCAGCTCAGAAGGGGAACCAGGAGAGGCTGCGCCAAAAGAAGGGGAACCAACCACTGTGAGACAATCAGCAAGAAGTAACAAAGGAGTACCACCACCAAGATATGGAATTTGTGCAATTCCAGTGAAGGAACCTACCTGGAAGGAAGTCAATCAACCACCTGCATCAGAGAGCTTCTCACAAACATTTGGAATTGACTTTTCTGATACTTTTGCACCTGTTGTAAGCTACACACCCTTCAGGACACTTCTAAGCATAGCAGCCTCAAGGGGCATGCATATTGAACATTTGGATGTCAAAACTGCTTTTCTCAATGGAGACCTGACTGAAGAGATCTACATGGAACAACCAGAAGGACTTTCAACCGAAGGACAAGAAGGCCTACTGTGCAAACTCAACAAAAGCGTTTATGGATTAAAACAAGCAGCAAAAGCATGGAATGACTGACTAAGCTGTTACAAAAACAGAACTTTCAACAAGGAACAGCAGAACCATGATTGTTCTCAAGACTTAAAAATTGACAATATCAATACATACTTATTTACGTTGACGACTTAGTTTTTTGTTGCCAAGACCAAGGAGATGTACAAGAAATAGCAGATGAACTGAACAAAGAAGTTGAAGTGAAACAATTAGGACCCATAAAGTACTACCTTGGAATACAAATTGAAAGAACTGAGTATGGAAGTTTTCTAAAGCATGGAATGACAAACTGACTAAGCTGTTACAAAAACAGAACTTTCAACAAGGAACAGCAGAACCTTGCTTGTTCTCAAGACTTAAAAATGGACAATATCAATACATCTTTACATTGACGACTTGGTTATTTGTTGTCAAGACCAAGGAGATGTACAAGAAATAGTGGATGAACTCAACAAAGAAGTTGAAGTGAAGCAATTAGGAACCATAAAGTACTACCTTGGAATACAAATTGAAAGAACTGAGGATGGAAATTTTCTTTTGAGCCAAAAGCAAAAGATCATGGACTTTATTGAATCTGTGGGAATGAAACATTCCAAACCAGTTACTGGATTATTCATCTACTGAAAGACTTTGGAATAGATTAACCAAAGACAATCAAGCTTGCATCGCTATCTGCAAAGGTGAGAGCACCAAATCCAAGAGTAAGACCATCGCTCTCAAATGTAACTATGTGAAAGACCTGCAAGACCAAGGACTGATTGAACTCCAATACTGCCCTACTGAGGAGATGATCGCAGACATATTCAACAAGCCACTCGAGAAGAAGTTTGAGACTCTCAGTGAAAGACTGAACTTGCATGACTTCAGCGTTGTAACTTGAGAAGGGGTGTTGGGTGTTACAAGTCAAAACACTTCAGTATTTACAGGGTTAATAATGTTTGTTAAGTCACATGTTTGTTTGTAACCAATCTGTTTAGACAATAGGATGCCCAGGAACTTTGGAGCTAATTTGCTAGTCTGATTGGAAACCAAGGTGTAAAGTATTTAGCATATTGGCTTCTCCTCCCGTTCTTTGTTCTTCGTCTCTTCCCGTTTTACCTTTTAGCTGCAAGGATGTAGCTCTTTGTTATTTTTATATCCTGTGTACCTTTTTCCCATGTTAGGTTTATAGTAAACTTGTATATTTTAAAACACACCATGGACTCAGTCTCTTAATACTCTGCTGACTTACTCAAAAAGACGAGTCCAGCAGCAGCTTAGAGACCAGCAAGATTTGGGGGGGGAGGGGTTTAAACTCTCCAGAGTCAAAACTCCTCGGCTGTCAAGGGAGCCGTGACTTCCGACACTTCCACCCTGGAACTCTGGTCCCTGAAGGGCTCCCGGACCGGTGCCTGCGACTGATCGGAGAGAGTGCGCGGAAGTAGCAAAGCTGCGGTCTTGTGCTGGTTTCCCCTGGAATGAGGCCCACTGAACACGGATGAACTTCTTTCGGATCAGAACAAAGTTCGAGTCCAGCTGGCACCTTTAAGACCAACAAAATTTAATTCTGGGGGATAAGCTTTTGTGAGCGGCACACACTTCTTTCGGGCCTAACACCCGGAGGACGGGTCATTCAATCAAGGTAAGTGTGCCAGGAGAGATTCAGGCTGCCCTCGCACACCCTAAATAATCCACTTTCCACCCACTCTCAGGGCACTCTCTGTTGGGTATTACAAGTTGAAAACACTCAGTATATCTGGGGTTAAATGTTTGTTTATGTTACTCAAAGGAAGTCACATGTTTCTCATGTAACCAATGTTCTTTAGCTGTAGGATGCCTGGGAATTTTCTCCCTGATCCAGGAATTCGATTGGGACTAAAGTGTCAAGGTGTATTAGCATTTTATGGCTTCTCTTCCCGTCTTTGTTTGGTGTTCTGGAGAAGAAGAGCAGCCATAATCTCTCTCTTCTACTTTTGTCTTTGTAGTGTAAGGATGTAGCGACTAAGCTCTTTTGTTATTTTCATCCCAGTTACCCTTCCCATGCTAGAATTTAGTAAAAAAAAAACCTTTATATTTTAATCACACATGGACTCTCAGTCTGAATTATTTTACTCAGGCTCTGCTGGGCTATATTATCTCTGCTAAATACCATTTTTTTTCAATATCTCACTATCACCCAACACTCTCCCACTGGATCTGACTGTGTGAACTGGCACAATCTAGTTGAAAAGTGCACTGAAAGTGGGTGGAAAGGGGATTATTTGGGGGTGGGGGGTGGGAGCGAAAGGCCCCAGTTCCCTTTCTTTCCATTGCGCCTGATGACTTTCTGGCCCCCTCGGAAAGCCGATGCCCGCCAGCAGTCCCCACCCCTTCGTTCCTCTCTAGCCTGGTGTCTGCCCGGAGAAGCGTCTGGCTCAGGAGGTCTGTCCGCGGGGCAGTCGTGACTGGCCTTGGTGCCTCGCACTCTCTGCCGCGGGGCAACCCTGGCCCGCGGGCCCCGCGCCACCGTCCGCCGGCGTGGGCAGCCACGGGGCTTTCAGCCAGCGGGGTCGGCAGCAGGCCTTGCAAAGAGACGAGCCTCGGTCTTGGCCTCAACCGGAGGGAATCCGATTTCGGACAGAGCCGGGAATGCGGCGCTCGTGTGGATGAGCCGGCGAGGGAATGTCACGGGGAGTGCGAAGAGGAAGGTTCTCGAGTAGACGGCGAGTCGTTCAATGAAAGGGAGACGAGGGCAATATCCTGTAGATCGTCTTACAGAGGACGAGTCAGAGACAGGAGGGGGGAAATTGCTTACACTTCAGATTTAAAGCTTTTTAAAATTATTATTGGAAAGAGATGAAAAGTCACAGTTTTACAATGGTTGGAATCTGTCTCTAACAAAGCACAACACGATCGGTTAGGAGCTGCGAGGGTAAAACGCACCCTCTGCCCCGCTGCTTCGGACCTGGGAGTCGGTTTATTTCCACGAGACGGCTGGAGAGCCGCTGGCCGGCACTTCGGGGCCTTTCTGAGGATCACAGAGACCACCTTGCAAGCGGCGACACTTCTAACTGCCCTAATAACGACCTTATCTATCAACGGCGCAAATACATATCAGAACCACCGCAACTTCTTTTTTATTTTATTTTTTCCGGTACACGCTTTACATTTCTGTTTGCTCTGACACCTTTGAGGCCTGCAGAATTTCAGGGATGAACATTTTTATTAGTTTTTCAGACTAACTTTAACTATAGGCATGCTAACTAGTATTTCGATTTTAACTAAGTTGAACCATACACACAATACATATGAAGCTGAATGGTTACAAACAGTATAATACCAAACAATAGCAATACTATGCTGAAACAGAGTTAGATTCATTCAAAGTGGACCATAATAAATATAAGGCAGAACCTGTATAATACATCAGTTTTTTTTTTTAAACTTATCTCTTTAAAGTATATTAAGACCCAAATCAACAACCAGTTTTGGGATTTCACCTTGAGATGTGAGATATTCAAGCACTGGTAACCAGATAGTAGGGAATGTGGAGAACTTCAGTCTCTAAGTCCAAACGGAGCCGCTATTGACTTTCCCTTGCTACGCAACCTGAGGACAATCAACATAGCCGAAATGTGCCTTGTTCGATTGCCCCTTAATACGCCCTTGGTTTATAGAACGGGCTCGGGCTTGAACAGACACAAATGTTGATCAGGGCGTTTGGGGGGGGGGGGAGAAAGAGAGTCAAAACAGAATCTACTACACCTTTAGACAATATATTGTAATATAATACTTACTACACTACAGTTTCTAAGAAATATATAGCTATCTGTATGGAGCTGTATAGTATAGTGCAGTGTAGCGTAGCGTAGTGTAGTACAGTACAGCGTAGTTAGTATATATAGCACAGTTGAGCAAAGCACAGTGCAGTACAGAAGAGTTTGGAGTTTTTTTGTCAGCGAGAGGGCGGGAGCGCGCCCAGGCCGTGAGAGGCGGGCAGGGTGTCCCGCGCACCGACAGCGGGACTTCACCAACTCTCGGAACAATTCAGGACAATGCGGGGAGCCATGATGGAGGCAGAAAACGTCGAGCCAATCTTAATCGACGCTGACAGGGAGGGAGCAGGAAGCGGCGCCGTGGTGCAGGCTGAAGGCTTGAACCGGGCGGGTTGGGTCTCTCTGAACATTTCCAGAAGTTCTCCCGGACTCCGTCTGGCAGAGCGGGCCCAGCGGCTGGAAGCGGCGGGTGCCCGGAGATGGTGGCTTCGGAAGGATCTCCTCGTCGGACCAGGCCGGGCTTTCGCAGCTGATTCCCGGCTGCTGTTCAAGACCGCTGCCTCTGCCGCTGCCGCCGCCGCCGAGGCCGGCCGGAGCGCCCTTTGCGGGCCATGTGCGACCGCAGCCTCTGCCGGCCGGGCTACGTGGGCTCCCTCCTGAACCTGCCCTCCTCCTCCTCCGCCGACTCCTTCTACTTCCCCGGCCTGCGGGCCACCGGGAGTCACCAGCTGGCCGCCTCCTTGCCCGCCCTCTCCTACCCCCGGAGCTCCATCGCCTGGACGCCACCGGCCAGCCACCCTTTCGCCGCCG